CTGGCCCCATTCTCCATTGTCTATAAATCATTAGACATTCAAAAGCACACACAAAGAAAATACACACAAAGTCGAAAATAAATGTGGATTACACTCAGCACACTAATTACACTAATTAACAGGTAAGATGGTCGACTGTTGGTGCCTTAATGGCACTAAATTGGTACTTTTATCTCATTCATGAGCAAAGAACCGACGACCGACTTAGTCCCTTGCCCATAACAGACTGAACGATTTCAGCTTTGCGATAAAACTCATGCGAATCTAATGTGTTTATCACATAAAAATCGCACCGAGCTCACATAATGATATAATCGTTTGCTGGCTGGCCCTTTGGGTGACTCATTGCTATGCTGTTCGATTTCAGTTTTTTTTTATTGACGATTTTCTACAAAATTGGTTTTGATATTGGAATAAGAGTTATGGAGGATATTGGAAAAGAATTGGTTTGGATATTTATTGTAAGCAAAGTTGCTTTGACTGACTTGCTTGACTTTACTATTTTTAAAATTCTTCTCTTTAAAAATTCATAACTTCCCATTTAGATTCATTAAACATTTCTATTTCACTTCTACTACCACTTCTATACCAAGACATCGAGCTTCAAATGGACAATATTTCACTCAAATCTAAGTAAAAGCTGATTTTTCCGGGGATTCTAAACCCTGAAGTTTAAAGTTGCGCTGTTTATCAAATGCCAGCCCGCCTCAAAAAAACTTCTCAGAAAGCTCTTTCACTCAACTGTTCGCATAAAACAACGGAGCCGAATTTAAATAGACAAAATTTCACTCAAATGCAAGCAATTTTTCATCACACATCAAATGCTGCTCACCTTTAAAAAAATATCAGATAACAACGGAATCGAGTTTAAATACAGAGCAAAGACAATGTTTCACTCAAATCCAACCGAAGTACGATTTTTTTTGGGTGAAAAAGTTTTTAAATTTGTAGTAGATTCTAAGAAATTTAAAAAACCACTTATTATTTAATTATACTCTATCATTAATAATTTGAGTAAATTAAAATAAAGGGCATTTCTAATTATGTATGGAAACACTCACATAATGGTGATACCTTGGAAACTGAAGCAGTTTTATCCCCCATTTTCACTTTTTAAAACAGTTTGTATGGCACGAAGTATTTTAAAACGAAACAAAAGTCAGTTGACTTTCGAAAAATAACAACATTAGGAGGCATAACCACAAATAAACAGCAAAGCAGATTACAGATAGTAAATATATTATTAAGAAGACCAATTTTAAAGTTGATTTAGCAACGTCGCTAAAGGCCGTCAATAACCAAGACATTTTCAGAAAAAATATCATTTGAAATGGACGTCAGTTCTTTAAATATTATAATTTTTAATTTAAATAAAGAAACGACTGTATTTAACTCTGCACTGCATTTCGCATTAGCGATGAAAGTATCCAAATAATGTTTTTTTGTACTATAGTTTGTGAATATATCAGCTTTTATTGTCTAGCGCATATATCGCAATCGGCTCCTTGCTTAAATGACATGCGCAAGTCTGTGGGTATAGCCTCCAGTGACATTGATAGGTAAAAAGTCAACAAAAGCCCTGGCAAGATAACAATATTTATAAAATATCTCGAGAAATAATTGTTCCACTTTATATCCACGTTAACATCATGGATTGAGGTGTTTATTTGAGCATTTACTCATAAATACTTCATTTAAGGTGACTGGGCAACTGTTATTTCGCTTGTTGGATATTAATAACTTGCGGACATTCTTTATTTCCTTGAATGTTATACGAATAGTTTTGGAATTTAGCTATTATGGTGATGGAGAATTATTATTCACATGAAAAGTACCGAGATCTGTGGTTGAAAATCAATCACCTACATCTGAGCTATTTGGATATGGAAGAGAGCAGAGAGAAAATAGTGCATCGCTCAAAACTTGAAGGTAACACCATCCTAGTGTAATTTGTAAGTGTTTTGAGGGCTTTAAGCCTCTAATTGTTCCTGACAATTATTATCTGCTGAGTTATACTTTCCCTGCATTGTTCAGGTAGTTCTCCAACTCAGCAGTCGACAGCTTATTAAATTAAAGTGTTAACTTGTCCTAAACAACCCAGCTTTCCCTTCTAGTTGTTTCGCTTGGTCTGATTCTGTTTTAACACAAAACTCATTTTTCGCAGATTGTATTGCGGAGTTTCTATTCGTCGCCCATCACAGAGACAAATTCGTTAATAGTGAAACCGAAGACGTCCTGTACAGATCTGCAGCGTTTAAGAAGGATTTCAGTGCCTACAAGGCAACGACTGGCTGGAATTCTCTTCAAATCTACGCTTCAAATTTGTTGACCCAACCGTGGCGCCAAGAGTATCGACAAATAAAGGCAATGTGGCCATTTTCAACTCAACAACGCAATTATTTTGCATATATTGTAGACTTATTGCGGATTTTACAAGCACCAAATCGAGGCTAATTTAATGGGCGCTGAGACTTTATTCCAAGCAATGGGTTACAAGAACATCGGAAATGGTGTTTTGGTCTTGGATGGCCCGGTTTGTCCGGACAGAGTCTCCAATATGTCCAGAGACTGTTTGGTCGCCTACGTGGAATGCCAGGTAAAATTCTTAGTTGAAATCGTTAACAACTTTCCAAAACCGTTTGATTTTTAAGATTTTGAAGCACATTTGGGAGGAAGTGTCCGCAGTTTTCCACGTGTCCTGGCTGGATATCCTTGAAAATCGTGTTGAGTGTCCAGGAAATATCGAGCAATGTGTGAACAATATTACGTATAAATACAACGCTAAGCGGTTTCAACCGCCAATGAGAAGTGCCCGAATTGAGCAGTCGAACTCCGCTAGTCATGGATCTCTTCCAAATAACCTTGTACATGTTCCAAAAAATCCTAGTTATGTTACAGCTTTAGTCGGACATAATCATGTGTCTCTTCCTCAGCCGCTGGTCACCGCTCCAGGTAATTTACGAGCTTTTCCCAATTTAAATTGCCACTCAACTTAAATGTTTTAGTGCCATTTTGCTTGCCACATACCAACGGCTGCGCCAGCACTTACACTTATGGATACGGCACTTACGCGCCCCAAATGCCGATTGTAAACCAACCACTTGCATCCGTTAATGGCTTCTACTTCCCTAACGGCCCCTCAGCAATTCAACCGGCTTACCAAGTCCCAACAGCGCAGCTGATTGAGTTTGAGAAGCGCAATGGACACGACTTGGTTGATGAAGGATCCGCCTCCAGAAGCCGAAGGCCTCGATTGGATTCTAATGGAACTCTGGAAAGCGACCGAGGGTCGAAGATTGCTGCCGGATCCGGCCAAGAAGACAAGCAAGCGCCAATGGAAGAGGACTGGGATTATGTGTTTCGGAATTTGGAACAGCAAGGGTAAGTTTGATGGTTTTTTTCGAATTCAGCGATTGTTTGATGGTCTATTCAACAGCTACAGTAAAGACTTAGGGGAGCGCGGCGACGTTTTAGGCCTGAGTTCGGGCAAGCACCGAAAATATGCCAAAGAAGCAGCTCCGAGGCAACGAGTGAGAACCACGAATTTGGACGAAGCGCTCAATAGTCTTACGGTGTCTGATCGGCCGCTGAAAATGACGGAAGCTTTAGAGCACATGGAGAAAAAAACTCTCGAAAGTAAGCAGTTCAAGGTTCAGCCGCTAATTATTAGTACTTCTTGTAATCTTGTGATCTTTGCAGGGAATTTGCCGTCTACAAAGGAAAGGCGGCATTCTCAGGGCAGTTCTTATGAAAATGTTATCGGCAATGAGGGGCCAAAGCCGGCTTTGACTCACACAAACATTCAAGCGAGTTATTCGTCTAGTGCTGCGGCGGCCCCAAAGATCAAGCTGCCAAAGGAAAGCGCAGAAGTTACTCAATTGAATGCAGTTGAAGAGAAAAAACGAACGGAACCCGAAAAAAGTAAGTAAGGTAATTACTTATTACCTATTAATAACGCAGTTTACAATTAATTCGTAGTTCTATCATCGAAATGGCAATGCAAGTCTTGTACTTACTTGAATGATTTAGCGAAAGAGATCTGTGAGATGTGCAGCAAAAGTAGATATAGCGGGAAGGAGCAGCCAATGGAGATCGGCGGCCCCGAGTGCTCAAAGTGTACATTAGTCAACCCAAAAAATGCCAAAATATGCCAAGCTTGCAGCCACAGCTTGAAAAACTCCCCCACATATATTTAGGTCGACTCTGACTATTTTAAGCGGCACCGCTTATGTATAGAAATATAATATATTTATTGTTACATCAAATGCTGAATTTTTGCAATTTACTGTCTGTTTTTTAAAGCTAGACTGTGTACATATTGAGAAAAGGTGATATGTTTGAAAAATGTATTATGTATAATTCTAACTCTTGTAAGGCGCGTAAGCTTAGTTTTAGTAGAAATTGTTGACGGAAACTATTGACAAATACCTTCTACGGTCTTGGATTTTTGTCCGCATCTATATAAAAAAAGTAACTGCTGCACATCAAGGCTCAAAAACTTTATTTTAGAGTGAAACTCAGTGACAATAAGTTAATAGTACATTAGCGCGGCGAGGAGCCCAAGACTCGTTGTTGTGTTTACCAATTTAGTGATAAACTAGCTAATTTTAACACTTATTTGGTGCTTCTCCTCTAATAATTGCGCTACTGGGAATGTTCGCCCTAAAGATTTTCAAATTTAGACTAATTTTATCAATTTTGTTTTTTTGTTATTTAATTTATTTGGAGTTTTAATGCATTTCCCTTTAAATCAACAATTATTAATTAAATATTTGGTGCTTATTATCATAAACTGCTTTATTTGTTTCCTATTCCCTCACACTGGGATTATAAACGATGTCCCTGTAAGCTGAAGGACTGATGTCCTATTTGGTGTCCTTGTCTGGACTGTGGCAAGACAACGAGACCTTTGCATCTCTGTTTGCATGTCATTAATAAACTAACCTCTGTGGTTTGTTGACAAACGCCGTTTGTTTATCAATTTTAGAGATTCTGCAGTATTGTTGGGTTTTCTTTGGGTTGTAATGTCTAAGTCCAAAGGTAAGGCAAAACAGTAATATTTTCACAATTCACAGCACAATTTTATCTAAACAAAAAGCAATAGAATTAATTAGAAGACAGGGTAAACAACAGAATGTGTTATTCGTTGTTAGAAAGGCAATGTTTAAAGAACAGGCTCTAAAGTTCGAAAAAACATCGCAAAAACTGATTTTTCACTCATCTCAAAGATCAAAATGAGGGGGGTTTGGAGCTTGAATTCAGGCAGAATTAGTCGTTTGTAACTGAAAATGTAACGCATTTTTTTCAGGAAATTACCGTTCCAAACGCAATAAGCCTACAGTCGGGCAACAGGCCAAGGAAGTGCTGGAATCGCTTGATGAAAATAACCGTGTCATTAAACTCTTCAGGGCCTTTGCAGTGGAATTGGACGAAAAGCATGATCGCCACGAGCGCATTGTAAAGCTGGGAAGAGACATTACTATTGAAGCAAAGCGCATCATTTTTTTGCTTCATAATATCAGCACAGACATGTAAGGCTATTGACTAAGAAGCACGAATATACATTGACCTGGACGGAAAAACTTTCAGCGAGGAGAAAAGAAACTCGGTGTTAGAAGAGGCCAAAAGCAGACTTTCCACTTTATGCTCGACGAATTTCAAAGCCATTGCTTTGGAGCTTCGCAGGCACGACGGCTATTTGTATCATCGGGCTTTCACTGCTGGAATGCAGGAATTCATTGAGGCCTTGTGCTTCTACCAGTACATTAAACAGGACTCCATTGGTAACTGGGTGGACATCAATCGGAGTTTCCAGTTCGAGGACGAGGATCAGCAGAAAATTCAATTGCTATTCACGCAGTATGATTTTATCTTGGGAATTGCTGACTTCACGGGCGAGCTGATGCGAAAATGCATTAATACACTCGGATCGGGGAATGTGAGCGACTGCTTTAAACTCTGCAACTTTGTGCGAGCAATCAACACCGGTTTCCTGGGTAAGATGTGAAGGTGCCATAGATCTCGGACGCTTGTTGTAACTGTTTTTCCAGGTCTGTCCTATTCAGGCAACAGGGAGGTGTCAAGAAAAACTCACGTTTTGCGGCAAAGCCTGGCCAAAATGGAGCTGGTGTGCTACAACATACAAATCAGAGGAAGCGAAGTTCCCAAACACATGCTGCTCAGTGTGATTGAATCCCAAGAAGCCGACAACAACGACGACGAAGGATTTTGCATCTAAGCCACTAATTGAGGAGTTTATTTGTGAATAGAAAATATGTTTAATAGCTTCGCTAGTGGGTGCAAATTGCGTCATCGATCAGCACTGCGCTGGTACCATTTAATATTTTGCGCGCACTTCAAATCCATTCGAAAATTGTATAAAAGCGATAATAAGGATTTTAGCGGCGATTGTAATTTTGTAAACGCTTCGACACTAATTTGCCGCATAAATAAACCACTTGACAGTTTTATTATCGAAGATTCGTTGGATTTCTGCCATGTTTGCTCATTGGAAAGTCGTTCTTTGCCTGGTTTTCGTGCAAGCGTCCCCTGGATATTCCAATGAGTTATTCGACTTCATAGAGTGTGGTAAGTTTGCTCTACTTTTATTGCTCCGGTTCTTTATTTTTCAAGCTTCATTGATAATTTGCTTCCTCTAGGACTATTCGCTTGTTATTCCTTTAAAGCGTCACAAGAACGGGTTTGAGGTGAAAAATCAACACTCTCATGCTGTGCAAGGCAACAGTTCTGAGTCTTAGTGTAAGCTTCGCGCGAAACACTGCTGAAGATACACGCCGCTCGTGCTTGCGAAACGTCCGGAAGACATTCGAATTCGCGAAGGCGTATTGCGTACATTTTTCCAGAAATGTTCATTTTTCCACGCTCCTTCTTAGTCACTAATAGCTTGCATCATTTCAGCGAGTTGTGTAATATGGCCCGATTAACGAGGAATTATTTTAATAATAAATTTGATGCATTTTTGGAATATTTCAATAAGCAAGGAATAATCTCTTCAAAACCTGGAATGTTCTAATTATTGCGATAATGTTCTGTTTTGCTATGCGATTACACATCGTTGCTTTATCATCGAGGACACAATTTTGTCCTAATTTTTATGTTACATTTATTAGTTCCGTTTAAGTTCAGTTAAAGACTTTCTAATTTCTTCAAGCCCATGTGAAGAAGATTAAGTGGATGATGCGTGGAAGTTAGCAAGTAAAGAAGTCAGTTGCAACTTCAATATCATTCCGCTCTTCGATTTGCTGGAAATTTTCAGGATTGGCGCACTTAAGCGTCTGGATTCAATCGAAAAATGTTCAAATTTCTGCTCAGTTCAGCTTCGACTTGCGAGTTTTCTAAAATCTTCCTCGCTTGAAAGCACGCGACTTACAAGTTCAGGTTTCCCGATTTGTGCCGCACTCCAATTTGCTTAAAATTCTTAGGATTTGCGCACTTTAGTGTCGGCAATCATTGCAAAAAAGTTCAGCTTGAAGTTGGGAACTTTTAAAGGATTTGTTTGCTTCAAAGCTGGTCGTTTACAACTTCAAGTTTTCCAATTTTTTCAGAATCAATCCGCGTTTAGTTTTCCTTGAAATTTTGGGGATTTACGCTCTTAAATGTGTGCAATCAATATGAGAGAGTTTAGGTTTCTCTTCCTGTTGGTTTGGAGCTGGGAATTTTTTAATTTGCCTTCTTTAATGCGAGTAACTTTGGAAACTCAGGTTTACAATTTTTAATTTGCTCAAACTGTGCATTTATGCATCGAAGCATCGTCAATCAACGTGGCAAATTTCAGCTTTGCAGTCGCTTTTTCTTGGAACTGGAGAATTTATCACGATATTTACAGAGAGGAAAAATTGCCGAACTTTGCCATCATTCAATAAACTCAGCATCTCTTACGACTACTGAAATCCGAATAAAAGTCCCATCGTTCTTTCACC